TTTCACTTTTACTTGAGTAAAGAGGTAGAGTTGATACTTCAACTTTTACCAGAGTGTTTTTAAACTGCAGTATCTGTACTTCTAATAAAGTAACAAATGTGTGTACTTTTGACACCACTGCTAATACATAACTTTGTATTCTATCCGTCTATATCATTCACTGAGATTATAGTCAGATTTTTTCCCATATTAAACTGAAATAATATTTAAAAATCAGTTAACTTTTTTTTTTTCTTTTCTTTTTTTTCAGTGGTCCTAGTCGTCTTCCATCGGTTATTGCCTGGCCACCCTTATAAAAGAAAATTCTGGCTACGCCTCTGTATAGCAGTACCATTCTCCAGAATGTTCTCCAGAATACTGAATAGTGTTGAAGGAACAAAGACACATTACACTTCTCTGATTTTATTTGTAAAAAAAAAAATGTAAAAGCAATGAAGACAATGATCATCTGTTGTTTTGAAAACAACTACAGAAACAATAAAGAGCGTTTATTTCGGTCTCAATAATCATTTTAGAAGGTGATCTTGTCCCTGGTAGAGGTGACATCTCTACTGACTGTGGTCCTGTCCCAGCCAGGGTTAGATAATCCGGTCAGGGGCCAAACAGTGTGAGCTCAGGCTGACGTGAGGCTCCGGGTCCCTCCCATCCTCCCTGCCTGCAGTCTCTCTGTCTCTCCGACGGAAAACAACATTCCTAGCATCCCATCAGCTGGGTCTCAGCTTTGGTTTCTATCGAAAACTGAACCGCTGCAGCTCAGTTCGTACAAGGTAAGGACATAAATATTTATTTCTGATGTTTTTTTTTTTTCTTTAGTTGTTTTGTTTAACCGCGCGAGGAGACACAACTAGCGGATGGGAGAGAAAAGGCTCCGCTAACCATCATCGGTACAGAGGCGGATAACGCAGTTTAGGTTTCTAAGCCTCATTTTATTATTATTTATTTTTTTGGGTTTATATATCACCTAACAGTAAATAATGTGACACTGTAACAGAAAGGTGACCTTAAATGTAGCTGGGGGCGTTTATGTACTTGTTCTAACGGTTTGACACGTTCACCATCTGTAGGTTTTTGTTTATTTTTAGATTAAAGAGACGCTTTGAATCCCATTTTAATCGGTTAGGTTTGTGTTTGAACAGAGTCTGTTTGTTGGTAGGGCAGAGTTTGCTCGTTCAGCGGCCTGCTTCCATTTCTTATCTCCATATTGATCCCAATTTACTGGAATCATCCTCGGTAGAAAAATGGCTGATGTTTAGAAGAATGTGGGACTGCGACTTACGATATAGTCCTTCAAAATAAAAGCATGTAAACTTTTATTCATTCTTCAGCTTCATTTTGGACAGAAGGATAAACTTACATTATTACATATTTTTTGCTTTTATTTAAAACCTGTTTATTAAGTAAAACTGCACTTTTGTTTGGTATTTTATCAATAGGGATGGATACAATGGAGGGATAAGTGAGCAATTGAATGAGTGTGAACTAAAAAAAAATACTATAGGAAGTTTTCATTTCTCATCTTCCCAACCAATCAGATGTTTTTGTTTGTTTGTTTTTTTTAGGTGAGAATCTAGCTTTTTTTTTTTTGTAAACTTAAAAATCTATTAAACAAATCAGATCTCTTAAGTTGAACAAAGCTACTTCCTTACCCATAAAAAAATCCAACAGTCCTCCATTTCCCATGATTCATTGTGGTCAGAGCGGATTGGTCAGGCAAGGTTGAACTGCAGTGGCAAAAACTGATATATTATGCTTTCTTTGACCCAAAATACACTTTAAAGATTTTCCTAAAACCTGAACAGAACTCAACAAATCCCCAACGTAATGAAGGCAACCAGGAGTTTTAAATATATTGACTTTGAAGAGGCATTTATTTGATCTTGTTGCTGTTGATGATAAAATGTGTCCTGTAATTTAAGAAGTTTCCCCAGCAGATGTTACTTATAACTTTGCGAAGATAATTCATTGAAATGGTTTGTACTCTTTTATTTTGAAGGCAGTTTGTTCCTCTTCCTGTTATGTCTCTGCTGGTGTTTTAAGGCCCTTTGCAGAGAGCATGGTGGGGATGCAGATTACTGGCTGATCTAAACAACAGTATGTTTATATCAGGGCTGCAGGATTAGCATTTAAGCTTTGAAACCTGAACTGATTCACATTAGATGGATAATCTGTTTAACTCCTCAAATGATGACATTGTTTTTCCTTAAGGTAGTTATCATATGAGCACAGATTTCTTTTTGAGATTGTTTTTTGGTTGAAATTTCTTTCCTTCAATGTCTTTTTTAATAAAATGTGTTTTGTGTTTGTAAAACCTTGGACCTTTCAGATGGAGCATTAGTGCGTCTGACGCAGACTTTCTCCAGCAGGTTTTCTGGTTTTCATCTTAAGCCATGCTGTGGGTTAGAGCGCAGGTTATCTTGCCTGGGTGATGCTGTGGTGTTAGATTAAATTAGGTAATCTCAGGAAGAACGGACAGGACTAAAAAAGGTGATCCTGTTATATAAACTACTCTTGTGCTGGGCTGACTGCCTGTTTGTTCCTCTGATTATTGGATGTTGCTTATTGTCTGAAGCAGCTTGCATATGATTGCTTGACAAATTTTTAATTTTTTTAATTTTTGCAGCCATGTTTTTTTTATTATCTTATCTTTTCTTATTATTTTTCTTATTAACTTTAAGATTATTTAAGATGCAAAGTAACAGATGCTTGAAATACATAGAGAGAGCAGTTTGTGTAATTTGAAGACAACTTTTGAAAGTGCATTTAGTTTTTTCTTCTGGCTTAAGTTAAATAAAGGGTTACCAAAATATACACCGCCCACACATTACCACAGCGTTGTGGTTGGCTGATATATTTCTATGTCATTCAAATCGTTTTGGAGCCTTGATTTAAAAGAGAAATCAGCCTGTGGTTCGGTAACGTTGCCTTCAGGCTGAATTCCAGCTTTGTGTCTTTTACAAATACATCAGAACCCGTCTTGTATAGCTTCAGTTTAAGGAGTTTGTTCTTATAGCTGCTGTTTTAACATCTTTTTTGTTATCATCCACAATTTTAATTTTAAAGGAACTTTAAGAGTGTAAAAACTTTGTGGTTTCTCACGGTTGCAGCTATTTCATTGGCTAAAGTGGCTAAAACACAACTTTGGTAGGTAGGCGTGCCCTTGGTGTCGCTTTGCTCAATCAGCTCAAAAGGTTCTTCTTTCCTCGAACAGATTTGATGGGAGCAATCCCAGATTAATAATGTGTAAAAACTTAACTTGAATGCTTCACGTTGTCACTCTGGTTTCCCAGGTTAGTAATTTGGTTCAGAGCTGATAAACTTTTACTCCTTATTCCAGATGTATGCTGTTTATTAACAGAAGAATTTCTGCAGAGCTGCAATCATTGCACAGACTTACTGCTAAGATTTTGCAACAGCATATTAAATAAGCACACACATATATATATTATTATTATTTTTTATTTTTTTTACAAACGAAGTGCTTCTACAACTCAAACTAGATTTCAAAGCTTCCGCTCAACCCAGAATCTCCTGACAGTGACTCAGCTGTTGTGCATCAGCTGCATACAGTCTATCAGTCACCAAACGGACCAAGTTCGTGTCCTGGTTTTAATTAGATCCCCTCCCAGCTTCAGCACGGGCCATCCAGACTCATACACATTTTTACTAATCGGGATGTCGAACTGGAGGTTAAAGTTATATCAAATATCAGATCAAATTCATACCGGTAATTTAATCAAACACTGTTTCAATTTACAACATTAACTCAAAGCAATATATTTCTAAAGTAAATACTGGGGCTGCTCTTATATAAAGACTTGCTAAAATTAAGTTATATTAAATTTGTGTATCATTACAACTTATTTTCAGAGCCCCTTTTGGCTTTTATTGTGCAGTTTGCCATACTAAAGCTATCACTTAGAAGAAAAGGCAGAGTTTGCATGTATAAAAACAGATTCTGGGATACATTTTCAGTGGTCCAATAAGTGGGAGATGTTAAACAGAGCAAAAAGGTCTATCTAAAGAACAAACGGATGTTGATTTAGCACTAGCTAACAGCTGCTGGTGGGGAGCATCGCCATAGTAACATATTTCTGCTTGTATTTAGGATGAATGAAAGCTTAAAGAACCTTCTTTGTGTAATAATAAAATCTAAAGTACAGCGAAGTTTAAGAGTTGATGGTCTTTGGTTGTTCAAATTTCCCTGCGGAACTTTTCACAGCCTGTTGCCGCGATGATTTGCTCAATTACCAATAAATAAAAACTATTACAATATATAAAATACATTTTTGCTGTACTTTATTTTATACCTGAAAATGGAAGCTAATTTCTGAAGCAAAAGGAAAGTGATCTAGAAAGTCTGATTTGCATAGAACTGTAATGAATAGAATCAGCTCTAACACATTGATATTTCTATGCTACATTGTAGATCCTTGTTAATCCTTCATATAGTTATGTCTCCCATCAACAATGTAGAGCTGAGATTGAGGGGAAAATGAGCCTTGGGTGGATTTTTCTCACTGATGGGGCTTAAGGCAGTTTTGGCTGCAATGTTACAAGCTGAAATGCTTCCATTTGTTTCTTCCAAAACTGTTTCGGATTTTAATAGTCTGAAGAGTCATCTGTTTCATTTCCTCTTTTCAATGCATCTTCTTTGATGATCATAGATTTTCTAAACAGGTTTTTCTCTAACAGAAAGGTCCCAGTCGCAGTTTTCTACTGGTTCTATAAAGCAAACACCAAACAACCAGTTGAAAAAGTGCTTCTACAGGGAATGTTAGATCTCCCTAAGGGTTCCTATATACCATGTCTGATTCATAAATGCTGTATGAAAATGCTAAAAGGTATGCTAATGCTCTATATGGGTCCTATTATTAGTTCTTATCTAGTTGGTAATTATTAACATTCCTGCAGCAAAGAGGAAGAAACTTCAAGAAATTTCAAGCTGAATAAATTTTTTTGTCTGTTTGTTTTTTTGTTTGTATTATATTGAATAGAGTTGGAAACAGTATTTATAGATTCAGCTGAACATATAAATTGTGGTCACAGTTTCATATGGTGCAGGGCTCTAGTTTAAGTCTTTTAACATGACAGAAACCATTTCTGGTTCCATTTTATTAAATGTGAGGGTTTCCTGCCTTTTGCTTAATTTATTGATTGTAATTACCAGCCAAATGAGAAACAGACTTCTTAAAAGACCCAATTTCCAACTTTACTTATTTTTTTTGTTTTATTACAAAACAACAGCTGGAATACCCTTAAATATAAGTACTGATTCTATTGAATATTATTCAGCCTTAAAGGTGAGTTTTAGAAACCATAAATGCTTGTTTCCCTCTTATAGGTGTGGATTTCTCTACAGTTAAATGTTTCTGCGTCAACAGGACACATCATTGGCAGCTGAGCTGATCTCTGCAGCATTACAAGATTAGTGCCTCAGCAGCGTTTAGCCACAGACCTTTTTTTGAACCGCCGCTGAATCGGTGTGTCAGCCAACGTGTCCGCTCCGTTTTTTTCCCAGTCTCGGAATGTGTCTCTCCATGTTATGTAACCGAGGGGCCTCCAAAGGCAGGACATGCAGTTTCCCACTGTGTGTTTGCACATCTGCTTTTAAAACGTCTCTGTGACGGTTTTGATGTTATTCCAGAGTGGCAGAATCTCCACTGTGTGCAGATATAATATAAGCCATATTGTGTTTTTGCAGTTTTCCTAAAAAGCAACTTTAGGCTGTCTGGTCGGCAGCATACCATAAAAAGACTGTTGATGCTGT